TTTTTGAAGCGAAATACCCAAAAAGAAGTTTGTAAAAATGAATCCGCCTCAACAATAATATTTACGTGTTGGTGATTGATTCTTTATTGCTTCAATTACAGAACGGCAAGGCTGTTCTGAGCTGCGTAGCCAAGCTGTTCAATCTGTACAGAGGAGAACGGAAAGAGACTATAGAGGAGGCGAAGCCCAGGCCGCGACCCTCTTCTGTTTTGGGTCCCAGAAACGATAGTTCAGGTATAATCAATAATCAATAATGTTCATGCATTAATTAATATCAATTTCCTTGTTTGAGTGCGTTCAAACGCCTTTAAATATCCGTTTTTCATACGGCCTTAACGAAAATAAATCAAAGGGCAAATATTATTAACGTGTTTCCTTTGATTCCAGTGAGCCAAAGACTGAAAATTTCCAACGTAGGATTTATATTGACGTTTATTCTCTTGCATGTACATCGATAAAACCCAGGCTCGCGTTTATTTATTCAGGAAAAAGTCTGATGGTGAGCTCACACCAAAAAACGACTGTTTTCTTAACCGGAAGAATCAATCAAGTTGTGTAAATAGCATTGTAAATAGTAATTTAAGGTGAACCAGAGCCCTTAAGCTGATGCAATCGATGTTACTAACGTTGGAAGTGAATAATGATATTCACAGGCAAAAAACGACTTGCTACTTTGCAGCCAATTAAAATCAGTTGTTCGAGTCTTTGCTTCAAAGTACCAAGCCATTTGAATTACATACTTACTCCACAATCTTATATTGAACATATTAATGTGGCGTAGCTGAAGAAGTTATATAATTGTTTCAATAGAATTTAACAGAGTTTTTTTAATGTGTTTGAATGTTATGACTGAATTATATTTTATCACCCACACTTTTGTAAGGTAAATTCATAAAATCAACTGCAATTTTCCGGGTTTGTTCGACTGTGTTGAGTGCTGAATTGTTGAGCCGCATGACAGTACATTACAAACGATTTACCGCAGAACTATCAATTATTTGCCATTAACCGATTGAAAATTTATTGTAGACCTTTAAGATGTTAATAAAAATTGTATAAAAACTCCATTGGCTTATTTAGTTTGCAAACCCAACAGAATTCCAGTGGAACTGCATGTTTATTTCCAACTGCACTCTTTAGAGGATTCGGTAAGTTTTTAATTTAATTAGCTGTGTTCGCGCATCGTGTTTAATAACTTTTAATCTGCTTCATTCTAAAATGAGTCTAACGCTTTTCAGGGTCTGCAGTATGCATGAAAACTTACTCGAAAGAATTAATGCTGTGTTAATGAGTTTTCATTTTCGAATCAAGAGATGTGGGCTCAGTAAAAAATGCACAGCTGGAGAAATTTGAATTAAAAATATCGCTCCATTACCCAGCTGACGACAGCTAATAGGCTCAAAACCGGTCTTGGGGGTGCCTGAGGTTGGCAAACCTCGAGATTCCCACTGTCTCTGTGGAATAAATAAAATCGATAAAAATTATTGTTCATCGAAAATTGGCTAAAGAAATCTAAAGCAACATTGAATTACACATTTTTGCGTTTATTTTTTTAAATCAGAAGCAACAGGCGTCACTTAGTCGTTTAGTCTCATAGTTAATGGTTAATAATGGTTAATAATTAGCCATCATTAAAACGTTTAATTTTCAGCT